TCTGGGAGTTGAAGTCCACTCATCTTAAAGTGGCCAAGTTTGGACAACACTGTTTTAGGTGAACTTTTAATCCTCTATGACACATACCCAATCAAGAACTAATGCAAAATCTTCCAGACAATTCCCTGCGTGCTACATCCCAAAAGACCAATTAAATGGATGCAGAATTTAAACAGAACAGTTGATATGCAACAGTGGATACACCAGTGGAAGATAAATATTACGTTTATAGTGAATATCGCCCTTAGAGAAAACTGGCATAAAATGTTTCATTTATAGCATATTACTCCAGTATTGGTTGCTAAAATAGATAATTCATTCTCTAAAAAATGGTTGGGGATGTGGTGGCGATGCTGTACAGTCTAACAATTGTGGAAGACGATCTATTATAGAATGAAACAAGTTCTAAATGAATACAAAATATTCCTATATGCGGAACTATAGTAATGTTACGTTGAAATTTTTATTTAATGTTATAATGCTTGTAAATCGCTTATTTGCTTCTTGCTTTTCTTACTGCTTGTTTTTCTTTTTTATTGTCCTTTAAAATGTCTAATAAAATAAAGTATCTGTTCTACCCTGTTTCTATATCATCTATTTTTAATGTTTTTAAAATGTTCATGGATTGTGTTTTAACTTATAAACCTTGCTTTAAATGGTTTTGTTAAAATGAAAACGTAAGATTTTCAAACTCCTTGAAATGTAAAAAAAAAAAAAAAAAATTCAGTTGACAAATCTGATTTAGAGCTTAAGTACAATTGAAATTAATTATTTTGCACACAGAACATGATACTGTGTGAAACATAAGGCAGTGATAGGGTTCTCTGTAAAAGATAACAAGAATTTCTGAATCCTGCTGGTTTAGCACCGAGAACAATAAAATCACCCTCCCCAATATTATCTAGCTGATGTGAAGTCAACTGCATATTACAGGGGAAATTTTGGTCTTTTATATCAAAAGGCTTGAACACCATTTGGGTTTGGTATTGGAAATCTTGGCCTGAACCCACTTTAATTCTAAATATATGTCTTTTATGTGATAAGGATATAACCATAACCTAACAGTTGTCCTGCCTATGAGGAGACTCCAGTACCCATATGGCTAGCTGGGGAATTCTGGGAGTTTAAGTCCATACGTCTTAAAGTTGCCAAGGTTGAGAAACATTGCCATATGCAATTCACATGGAAGTAACACCAGCTGGATCTTTCTAACCTTGAATACTTCAGGCTTACGTACCTATGCTTGAACAGCATGGAGATGAAATCCTTTGCTGTATTGCTGTAGTAAAGTGAGGAGGAGGAGGAGGAGGAGGAGGAGGAGAGATCAAGGTCTCAAACTGGTCATTTTAGAAGCAGAAATCACATGCCCTCTTTTTTGCATCACAGTGATTGCTTGGCCATTCTGTTGTGCTCCAGAGCCCACTGCAGATGGGCAGAGTGATATTGTCACACCCAGCTCAATAAGGTTGGGTTGGGTGTTTACTGGGGACTCTAGCCTATGTTCTTTTAGTACGATTAGAATACCAACATAACAACAACAAAATCACTAAATTACACCAAATACTACGGCCACCAAAAAACAATAAACATACCAAGTTAACCTGGGATGGGGACACAGCTCATCCCAGCTCCCAGGGGTGTCCCCAGGGTATGGTCAAAAAATTCAAGATGGCAGCCCCCACAGTGTGATTAAGACTCTGCTCTTTTGTATGTGCATCACACATCTTTACCTTTTTGACCACGCACTGTGGACACCCCTGCACAGCTCCCCTCCCAGTGGAGTCTCCCAGGAGATCCTGGGGTATCCTAGTCGTATATCACTGCTGTGGGCCATTCTCAGAGCGAGAGATTTGCAAAAAGTCACGCAATGCCTCTTGCAATCTGCTTTCCTTCTCCCTACATAAATGCTCTCTGGTCTCTCTGCAGCCTCTCTTCCTGCCATTTGGATTCCGAAGGACTCATCCATTTGGCGAGAACTGTGTCCAGGTGTCCACAAATAGAGGAAATCAAGTAAGTGATACAGGAGGTCCAGCCCCAAACAGTTCACAGCACCAAGAGTTTTGAAAACTTGTCCTCGTTGTAAATGATGGACAACATTCTTCCCAAGGTATTAAAAGGCGCCATTTGTGTATTTTTCATGGAATTGCGGTACGATTCTCCTGCTTTGTCTTTGCAGCTTGTCAGAAAACAACATTGGGCATAAAGGTGTGATGTCCCTTATGACACCATGGCCACAATCTTCACAACTCAAGAAGATTGAGTAAGTTTTCAGTTTCAGGGCGACTGATGAGTGAGTGGAAGGATTCATACTTCATTTTAAGCCATAATGGGGTTTACTGATTTGGTTTAGTAGGTTTGGATTCAGTGTAATTACAGGAATGAGTTACTGTGATTTCCATGAGTTTTGGTTCAGTGTGCTTGTGTGAACCCAGCTCATTGTAGCTTATACAACAAACCATCACTAGTTAAGACATGCATGGTTAAACCATGACCAAGCAGTAACCTAGTCCATATTACAAGGAGCATAAATCAAGGTTGCACAAGACTGTGGAGGTAGACTATCAGAGCTTCAGCCTTGGGATGTATAATTTTAATACGCTGTTTCATTTTCCAAATTACAGGAGGAAAAAGATCCACTCTAATCTATAGTGCTCTGAACCCATCTCAACTACTGGCTCTAGTTCTTGGCCCCACCAGTTTAGGAAGGATTCGGACAAACTGGGTCAGATATAGAGAAGGACAGGGAGGATAAAGGATAGAGTAGAAACTACTGTATGTCCTGTGACATTTCACCTGAAGAAAGATAGAATAGGATTCTTTGCCTTAGTTAGTTGTGTGGATGGTTGTTGGGGGTTTGTGTGTGTGTGCGTCTTTGAGTCAGTCTTGACTCCTGAATGAGTCCCTGCAGTTTTCTTGGCAACATTTGCAGAAGTGGTTTTGCCCTTGTCTTCTTCTTCCTGGGGCTGAGAGAGGGACTAGCCCAAGGCCACCCATTTGGCTTTGTGCCTAAAGCAGGACTAGAACTCATAGCCCCCTGGTTTTTAACTTGTTGCCTTTAACAACTTCACCAAACTGGCTCTCTTTGTCAGTTTAACTGTGTTAATTACAGACGTAGTAGCTGCATTCAAACAGCACACTAAGCTTTCTTAGTTTAAGCTTGGTTTTTGTCTGTGTTTCAACATGGTGTTAAGCCTTCCTTAGGAGGATAGCTTATGGTTGAATATATTAGGCAAATCCACGAAAATCAGTAAGCAAATTAAGTGTGCATTGTGCAAACATAGCCACAAAATACAGATTTGGATACTGATCTTTTTCCCCTTTTGTTTTAATTTTAGACTGAAGGCCTGTGATATCACTGACGTTGCTTCCAAAACTCTCATTGTTGGACTCAGCTGCTGCCCTTTCCTTGAAGAGATTGTGTGAGCTGTTGCGTTGCCTCTTTATTATTATTATTATTATTTAAATGTATATGCTGCCCAACTCCCAGCAACTTTGGGTGGTTTACAAATTATTTAAAGCATGAAAAACAAGACATTAAAAACAAGAAACAAAAAAAAGGTAGAGCTGGCAGAATAACAAAGCAGTGGAAATCAAAGGAAACCATCTGGGTTAAAAGGAGTCTTTACCCAACCTCACCAAGGGCCTAGATGAAGAGCCAGGTCTTCAGGCCCCTTCAAAACACCAGCAGGATGGGGACCGTGCAGATCTTGGGGGAACCTCGTTCCAGAGGGCAGGCAGTGCTACAGAGAAGATGCGCTTCCGGGGTCCTGATAGATGGCATTGTTTAACTGATGGAACCCGGAGAGCGCCAACCCTGAACAATTGAATCGGCTGGGTAGGTGCTGTAGGAGACAGACAGTTCCTCAGATGACTAGGCTCTATGCCATGGAGGGCTTTATAGGTAGCAACCAGCACCTTGAATCGCACCCAGAAGCAAACTGACAACCAGTGCAGCTCAGAAAGCAGAGGTGCTTCTGGTTGATTCTTATATTGCTCTTACGGCAGAGGGATGCCCAGAAATTCTTACCCTGGTGCCCCCCGCCTACCTGTCCTGTCTCACTTTTTAAAATGATTCTTGTAATAAATACGATTAGATGGGGAAGCTCTTAGATTACAATGCAAAACACCAATTTTACCATAGTTTTGCCCTCCTCTAGATGGGAAACTCCAACTTCCCAGGATTCACCAGCCAGCATGGCTGTTGCTGAGAATTCTGGGAGTTGACACCTGCACATCTGGAGGTACCCACGCTGGAAAAGGCCACTGTCGCATCATATTTATTAGCAACAATGCAAACAAGAATAAAGGCGGGGGGGAAGGGGAGGGAACCACCCATAATTAACAGTGGATATCAATTATAAACTTCAGTATACTTTATTTCCTTTGCATTCCAGACAAAAGCATTTCAGTTCAACACTCTGTCCCGTTAAAAGTTCATTTTTTACAATCGCAAAGCATTGCACTCATCTGTCCTCTCACAGGTTCTTTACTTCTTTCTTTCAAAACTGGGGTAGATGTCTTTTTTTCCCCTTTCACATTTTGTTTCTGCTCTTTGCAAAAAGTAAAACAAAAGCTTGTCCCCCAAGCAGCAACCTGCACAGGGACACCAATGAGATCCTGCATTGCAGTTGCCTCCTTCCCCGTTTACACAGAATCATCGAATTGGAAGGGATCTCAGAGGTCATCTAGCCCAACCCCCTGCGTATGGCAGGATCTGCTAAGCCATTTTGGACAGATGGCTGTCCAGCCTCTGTTGAAAGAGTTAGTGAATTCTGCCATGCCCTTCCCAGTATGCTCTTGGCGATTCTTTTCCAGGATCTGCTCGGATGAGAACCTCTCTCATACCTGATCTTGTTCCTTTTAGCTTGTCTTGGAATAAACTGGGCGATGAAACTGCTGAAGAACTCGCCGTGGCTCTCCCTGGGATGATAAGGATGAAGATCCTAGAGTGAGTACCGTAAGACCCCACCCCAAAGTCCTCAACCAAGAAAGAGGAGAGATTCATCTTCTGTCTGGGAATTTTGGAGAATTTTTTTAGACTATGGAGGGAGTGATCGTTTAAAAAACAGGGAGAAGACGGAGCTCAAAGGAGAACGTCTAGCGCAGTGTTTTTCAACCTTGGCAACTTTAAGAAGTATGGACTTCAACTCCCAGAATTCCCCAGCCTTCCAAGCGGGAAGGGGTCCTGAGAGCAAAAGGTTTAAAACACTAGAACAAGAAAGGAGCATTCCTGGTAGCGTCTGTCTATTGACCTGGCTTACCTTAAGGACTGACATCAACCTTGAAATGTCTCCAAATTTCTCTTTGACCCTCTTATACTAACAAAAACAAGACAAGGATATTCTGAGTTTCTTTCTCATTTTGTTTTAATCTTTGGACTGTATAATTGCTTCTCCAAGTCCCTCCTTAATGGTTCTTCCATGCCAAGGTCATCTCTAAATTCCTTTACAGAGGTGTTTATTGCTTGGATGGGAGTCCACTAGCGCAGGGTTCCTCAACCTTGGTGACTTGAAGATGGGTGGACTTCAACTCCCAGAATTCCCCAGCCAGCTGGAGTTGAAGTCCACCCATCTTCAAGTCGCCAAGGTTGAGGAACCCTGCACTAGGGAATCCCAGAGTTGTCGTCTAGACTGGGAAGTTGAAGAACATTTTGGGAAGAAGGCAGTAGCAAGCCATTTGCATATTGCTGCCCATAAAACACACAGATGTGGCCATGTGCTCACCAGGAATTAAGTTTAAATCAAAGGAGGCTTTATATTTATGGTGTCTGCAGAGCAAAGATGCATCTTTGGATTATAGTTAAGCATCCAGACTGGGCTGTTATCTTCTAATTCAGTGCCAGCAATTATTTTTTAGGATCCAAGGATATCACACAGTGTCATGCAACAGCCTGAAGCCCCCCCACCTGCCCTATCAACCCAAATCCTATAAAATCTCCAACTCCCACATGAGATTTTGACCTTCTCAGGTTGCTGAAACTTCATGAATCTGCAAGTTTTTAAGGTTTCTCCAATTTGATTAATATATTTGTATTACTTGAAAAGCAACTGAAATGTTGGGGGACGAAAGGCCTGGTGATATGTTGCCAACCCTGATGGTCCCTTGTGTCACTGAAAACCTTGCAACTGCTTTGATTTTGTTAGGAAAGGGAATTTGATATCACTATCAGTAATTTCCTTCCTGTTGTACTCTTCTCTCTCTAGTCTGGACAACAACCGTATCACAGCTTATGGTGCTTCCAAATTAGCAAACCAGCTTCCTCGATGTCATGGAATCCAGAATATACGGTGAGCTTTCTAGGGGTGGTTAGAGTAACCAGATTTGTTGCTTATGACCAAGACTGGTCTCTCTTAGCACTCTAAACAAAACTGGATTAATAGGCTGAACTGTCAACCTTCAGCCCTTTAAGACCTCTGGCCCAATGATGACCCTGGGAGCCTCTTAATCCTTCTGCCATGTAATTTGCATGGTGCAATCCTGATGAAGTCTGGCCAAGAATCAGTGGTGGATCCCAGTGTAGTTAGTTGAAATTCAGTAAAGTAGTTTTGGATGCCCACCTGATGTGTGGACTTGCACTCCCCAAATTCCCCAGCCAGCACAGTCATTGCTGAGAATTCTGAACGTTGTCAACCCAAACATCTGGAGGGCCCAGGTTGGGCAAGGGTGGTCCAAATGGTGAAGATTAGGGATGGTAGCATCCAAAGGTGTGAACAAGATGTGGTCAAAAAGTCAGGATGGTGACCAGGATGGTGTGATTGGAGCTTTGCGTGTTTTTTATATGTGTCACATAAAGACAGGAGGATCTTTGACCGCACCATAGTGGCTACCATCTTAACTTTTTTGACCACATCTTGCTGACACCTTTGGTAACATCTAATGAGTCAAAATTACCTATTGGAACAGAGAGCAGCAGGTGCCGTGGGATTGACAAACACTAAGCCATTGTTTTATCCATGATTTGTTGAATAAGTAGTGATTGGGTTCATCTATCATTATTATGAGCCACGTTTAGAAGATTCTTACAATCATCATTCCTATAATAAGATCATTATAATAATAAGCCAGGTCTAGAAGATTCATTCAACTCTCTAAGCCAAAACTAAACAAATTGCATTATGACGTTGGGTGATGCAGATCAATAACAATTTAGCTTTCTTTGTCTCTCTTAAGATTTTAAGGGGACACCGAAAGCTTGGAAATCAGTGGTGGCTCTAAGCCAGGGACAAATCTCATCCCCGGGATGTCCCCAAATAGTCTCCACCAATTGGCCTGTTTATTCCTCCCCCAGCTGCCTTTTGCCTCTTCAAAGCCACTCCATTTAAACTAAGGAAAAGTGAACATTTTGTTTGGAAGCTTAGCTCCGGGAGAGAAAGGACAAGGCACTAGGAGGCATCATGGATAGATAAAGGGAGTGTTGGGGATCCTCTTTAAAGGTTTGCCTCCTGGTGAATTGGTGTGGTTTTGTAAGTGGCCCTAAATGGGTGTTTGCCCCCTTCAGCAGCCATTTTGCAATGCACGAAGAATTCCAAATGTGTACCCAAGTTAGGGCGAGGACATTCATTTCTTGCCTTTTATGGATAAAAATAGAGCTTTAAAGCAGGGTTTTGCCTTGCCCCGTGCTAACTGGGCAGTAGTGAGTACCATCCTGCAGGTGCATGAAAAGGGCCAAAAAGTGGCACTTTGTCTTCCCAGGCTGTGGCGCAATTGGATCCCGAAGGACGTTGAGCAGGAGCTGGCGGAACAAGAGCCACGGCTGCATTTTGCCTTCTTTTGAGAAGGGGGAAAATGAAGAGAGACTTGCTGCTTCAAGGGAGATTTGCTAGTCTTCAGAGTTCTTTAGACCCACAACAGCAAGGAGGAGCAGTTTCTTGGACCTCGTTCAAGAAGGCCTTTTTCCAGTCCATAAACGGGGCCAAGTCGTCCTTAGCTGTACTGGTGTTAAAGTGGCCTTTTCCGCTTTATTCCAATGACGGCCCCAAGATACGTCCGATCTGGAAGGCTGGGTCACTGTTTCTCTGGAGGAAAGCCGGGGAAGTGCAGGGCCTGGGAACAGAGGCAGTTGGGGCAAGAGAGGCACCAGCAATGGGGAATTCGGGGCCCGCTCGTCAGTTGGGAAAGGCCCGAGGTCTACAAAACTGGATTTCAGCTTCTTGTACTATCTTTGCCACACTGGATGATGTACATTTATTTTGCACTAATGAACTCAGAATCCTCTGAAGAAAACATGCATGGAAGCAAACAGTGGATTCTGCAATAGGTGTGAAAATATTTGTATGTATTTATTTATTCTGTCATAATTTACTTTACTTTTGCTACTGTTGAAGGAAGTCAGCCTTCACGGTCTTTGCCAGAGATGCCCACTAGATGGTGCTGTGCCCTTAAGCAGTCGCTGTTGTCTGTGGGGTAAAGGATGAAGGTGGTCTGAATTCTACGAATTAAGGGACATGGACACCTTTATCAGCGAAACCAAGGCTTTATTCAAGGAGGCAGGTAGAGATTGGTGCTCCGATGAAGCAGAATTAGGTGGCGCAGCCGGGAGATAGGAAGAAAGAAAAAGATCCAAGTGCAGACCAGCTGGGGTTCAGCACGTGTAAGGAAGTTCACCTTGACGAAGATACACAAGAACTGTTTCCTAGGCAAAAGGGCTGAAACATTTTTTTAAGTCCAGAATGTCCAGATAACCTTCAGAAGTGCACTGATGATATTAACCTAGTTAGGCAATGGAACGTCAGCAAACAAACCACCAAGCTCAGAGAGCACCAAGGACTCCCCAGTTCAGCTCTGAGCAAGAGATTTGTTTCTCTTGGAAGTGGTTCAGACAGACACCTCCCCAATTCACTGAAGGATGAGGAGGAGGAAGAGGTTCAGCACAATCAGACTCTGTTTGATTCTGTTGTTCTAGCCAGTCTCAATAAAAGCAGTTTTAGTCTTCCTGTGAGTTGATTCCTGATCTGGTCTACCTAGTGGGATGGACGGTGTCTGAGCATATGGAGGACCCTTCGTGCCCCATCAGTTCGGATCCGTGGGAACAACCGAACTGAGCAAACAGTTTTCAGGACTATCCCAGTAAGTCAGGTCTACAGTAAGGCGTGATTCACACCTTATGCTAAGCCATAATATGGATTGCTCTTGGCTTACTGTGTCGTGCAAAGTTAATGAGAAATTATTTTTTTAGAAAACGTATTAGAAAATTAAACCAAGTCTCAGTATTGCATGTGAATCCCGACCTCTGAGCATGCCATGTGGGCGCCCCGTCTGAGCCACAGAAATTGGGGGTGAAGCACCATCTCCAGTTTCTAGCCAGTCATATTGCATTAAATGATGATAATGATGGCACTGAGAATGATGATAATGGGGCTACCAGTTTTGGGCTTCCAAAAATGGCAGGACCACTAGATGGCAGCAAAGAGACGTAGAACCCTCCAGCTATTTATTTGCTGCCACGTAGTGGTTCTGTGGAGCGTTGCAAGCTCTAGGCCTTGAAGCAGTCAACTCTTACCCCATGAGGGCATATTCCCATAAGATAAAATCTCTAACTGCAATCTGCCTGCAAAAGAGAAAGTGCGATGACCATTAAATGGGCAGTGGCTGTCAATAGTTTCTCCTCTACTTCCTGGTTTAAAGGCAGATTCAGAAGCTTGCACGCTTCACATTCCTACGAAAAGTGTGCAGATGGGGGGATGACCCATGGCCCCACACTAGTCTCTCCCCCCACTCCTGTTGTGTTGAGGAAGGTGAAGATCTGGATGATATTTGCAAGTGGCATATGGAGAGGCTTTGCTCTCACATATCCTGGCTGGGTTGGCACTTCCCAAGCTATGGTTTGTTTCACCACCTTTTCTTAACTGGCTTCATTCATGCTAAAATAAAGGCGAACAGAAATCCATGCACTAAACCAAGAAAATGAAAATGAAAAGTGAGGTGCTAATAGACTCTGTTGCAAAATCTCAGTCCCAATTCATTTTAAATTTACTGGGACTCGCCAGATGTACGTAGCCAGATTTTATTCGATGGGATTCCAACTCTCCCTACAGATGTGGTAGAAGCCATGAGACATGATGTAATATTGCATTCTGTATCTCTCTGAAGGGAAGATGGGCAATATGATACCCTTCTGATCAATGTAATTCAAATAAATCCCCCCTTCTTTGATGAATGATAGAAATGCCATCTTTACCCTGCAAACATCAGTGTAATCACTATAAGCAAAACACACAAAAATAACACATTAACTATTATAAAAGAATATGGGCTGTAGGTAAAAAAAAAATGCAATACTCCCAAAATAGAGCAAAAGAACCTACAGTAATTTTTTTGATACTAATGAGCAACTTGGTGAACCCTGATTTATTCAGCTTGGAGGGTGTTCACACACACACACTTGTGCAAGCTGGGAAACGAAGGGGGGGAAATCTGAACACTCAAGGGATCGAAAGTGACTCTGTGATCTCATAAATGGCACCTCAGCCCACGAGGCAAGATCTTTGGAAAGAAATGCTTCAAATCCTTCAAAAAGACTCCAACTTAATTCACTCACGTAAAGGAGGCTGATATTCCTCTTATAATTTCCAAGGGTCTGTTTTTACCCCAATCCAAGACCAAGCTCGCAGAGAACTGAAGAGGAACGGCATCTTTTCCCGTGCACGTGCTCATTGAGGGATGTGTGTGTGATTAATATTTGACACTTCCCCATATGGCAGTAACCGTAAATTTTCCAGGTCACCATTCCCACATGGCATGGTAGCCAACAGGTTTGCTGCCTGCTTAACTTTGCCATCTGGGGTATGATAACATATGCTTGGAACACTAAGCTTCAGCAAACAAACCTGTGTGTGGATCCAGGTTATCCGAACTAATGTGTCATTCATGGAATCTTTTCTGTCTCAAAAACACATTTACTCCTCCAGTGAAAAATCTAACCATAACTTGTGTGTTTCTGTATCTATTTCCTATGCTCGATATTGTGTCTGCAAATTCAGTTTAAAAATCTTAATAAAAGATAGTTTATTCTTTTATGAAGTTGGTCTATGATGGTCATAAACTTTATCTCTCTACCCACCTCAAAAATGAATGGCTGAGCCCAAGTAGAAGGTCCAATGAGATGTAAAGTATCTTTCATTGGTGAATTCATCGGACGTGTACGTGTCTTGGCTAAACCACAGAACTGGTTTGGATGGATGGATGGTGTGATATCAACTTGGTGTTGACTTTTGGTCACTGTATAGATTTTCTCCATGAGAATCTGTCCCCAACCTAGCCCTTCAGGTCTTCCAAGGGTGCCCCCGTCATCACAGTGATGGAGTCCATCCCCCTTGCTGCTGGTCTTTCTCTTGTTCTCTTTCCTTCCATCTTTCCCAGCACCAGAGCCTTCTCCAGAGAGCTGGGTCTTCGCATCATGTGTCCAAAGTAGGATAACTTGAGCCTGGTCATTGGTGCCTTGAGTGAGAACTCTGGGTTGATTTGTTCAATGATCCATGGGATTGTTTTCCTGGCTATCCATGATATTCTCAGGAATTTTCTCCAACATCAAATTTCAGAACTCAACAGTCTTTCTATCCTGCTCCTTTGGTAAATAGAACTGGATTACCACTGTTTTTCTGTTTTTTAACTTTTAAGTTTAGATTAAAGTCTTGGGAATCTTGCTTAGTTTGTTTAAGAGAAGCAAGATTGGCTAAGGGTGGCCACTAGCCAGAAAGGTCTCTCTCCGCCACAACTAATACGAATCTTGTACGTGGACCTGACTATGAACTTTTCTTGGCAACTGTATGGATGTGGTTTGTTCCTGCCTTGTTCTGTGACTATATTTTTTAAAAATTTTCCAGCCTAGTCTATAGCTCTGAGATCTCCTGGTGGTCTCCCATCCAGATGCTAACTAACCTAGCTCCCAGCCCACACAAGACTTGAATTTATTTGGAGAATCGAGTGCATCCAATTGGAAGCTAAGTATTTGGTGGTGCTGGAACTGAATTGCTTCCCTTTGTCAGCTATAAGACATAGCCTTTTAAAATTCCACATAGTCCGGGGCTGAATTCTGGAAACCTAAATCCTAATTTACAAGCCACAGTGGCTGGTTTTGTGGTTAGCCCTCTTTCAAGCTGCTTTGAGTGTCAAGTTGCAGGAGAAGAGATGTTCTGCCCCTGCAATTTGTCCCTCTGGCTAGTTTTGAACCTGCATATGTAGCTTTTCTGAAAGCACGTGAAACCTGTGTTCAAAGTTAGTCTGGATGGTGGACGGGGGGCTGCCGAGGAGGGCCTTGGGGTGAGGCAGGGGGAGCTCTCCTGGTGCATCATTGGTGCATGGTGCAGCTGCCCTATGTTCAGAAACAGCCTAACTGCTCCCAGGCCTGGGGAAGGGTTTTGAGAAGCCGTGGGGCTGCTCCTGCCTGCTTCACCCCACCCCATTTCTTCTGCATCTTCGGACTCCCTTTCCCTCCGTCAGCTAAAGGAGAAAGAGACAGAGTCTTATTAACTTCACCCACTGGGCTCCTTTTGTGGCTGGCACAGTTGCAAGGATATACCAAGAATCGGAGACAGGAGAGCAACTCCAGAGTAACTGAGATTCCACCCCTAGAGAATAATGAAACTGGAAAGCGATGAAGCATAAATATATCCAGAATCAGTAAGGGCTGCAAGGAAGCAAGACGCTGGCAACAAGTGGCTGGAAGTGCCAGAAGCAGCCTGTGGAGGGAGCAAAATGTGCTCCCCCCCAAGTAATAAAAACCATAAAAAGCCACGTGAAACCCCTTGCTGGCAAAAACAGCAGAAAGCCCCTAACTCATTCATTTGCCACAGAAGCAGCCGTGCGCATCTAGCCAAGCCTGGCTGTCTCCTGGTTCACACAGTGTTAGTTCTGCCTTTTTGTTAAACGCAGATTTAAACATGGGTATGTCAGAGCAGCCTGAAGGGACCGGGAGGCGGGGCAGCTCTCAGCCCCTGACTTGCCATGGACCACAAGAAGAAGGAAGCGCCCTGGGGTCTGGTGGTGGCAAAAACTCTGTTCGGAGGAGGAGGAAAATCCCATTTTAAAACCAGAACAGCTCGATATGACTTCAAGGTGCCCTGCCCCGGTGGGGATGGAGTGCGAGGATGCGCTCAATGGGAAGCGTGCAAACGAGCCCAGTCCTGCTGGTCCGCACCACCCTCACCCAGGTTAACAAAACCGAACTGCACTGCGATCGCGTAAAGGGCGATGCCAGATCTGCCCGCGACCTGCTTCCCCTCTCATGCTAAGGTCACAGCCGCAAGTCTTTGGGAACCGGCCCGGGGGTTGCGAGAGCCCCGTCCCGGCAGAGGGAGGCGGGCAGCGACGCCGGCCAGAGCGAGAGTTGCCTCCGGCAGGCCCGGATCGCCGCTCCCGCGGAGCCGGCCGCGCTCCCTCGAAGAGGCGCCGAGAAGCGGGGAGGCGGCCCGGGGCTTGGTCCTTCCCCCGCCGGCTGGGCGGCTGGG